TTTTGGAAGTAAAGGAGGCTGGTGTGGGGAAATTTATTCAATATTATTGACATATTAATATTTATTATATTATTTCATTAATGATTAAGATATTTAGATTTTAAAAAGTTTAAGAAGAGTTCAAAATATAGTTTAGTAAATCAAACATAATTTGTAATCTTATCATTAAACTAAGCTGAAATTTTAATAAAAGATTTTGAAGGCTCTATTTTTTATTTGGTTAAAATTTCATGATGATCATAAATAGCAAATATTTTCAAATAAGGCTTAGAAATTACTGTATGAGATTGTCTAATTTACCTTGTTGTCTTTGGATTTTTTTTATTTATTTAGATTAGGATTTCTAATTTAATTAGTATTTTATTATTTAAAAATCCTAATACTAGATGGATTTTATTAATTAGACAAGTTTTAATTAAAAATTCTTTTATACAAAGAATTTTAGTTTTAATTAGAATCATTTTCTATAAAGCATTTTAAAACTAATATAAATAATATAACTAGGATTGTCATGATTATTAAAAAAAAAGAGAGAAAGAGGCTATTATTGATATTTTAAAAATGCTAGAAAGTTTTTTCTAAATTTTTCTATAACTAAGATTTATAATATTGAGGCTGGATAATCATAGCTTTTAATCATGCTATAAACCGTGTTACTTAGGTAAACCAACTTTTTTGGTGTGGGGAGCTTGGTGAGCTTAAGGTTTATTTGGGTGGGTTAGATTTTAGGTTTTTTGTATTGATTTGGTGAAGAGAGGTGCTTCCGGGGAGTGGTCATAAAGGTGGGAACTCTAGCTGCTAAGAGTTTTCCATGTCTAGGTTGGCAGCATGTGGCCATTTGCTATTGGTGGGGAAAATAGGGCATGGGGTTACTGATCTTGTTCAGTACTCTTGCAAGCTGTGTTTTGGTCGAAATTAAAGAGTTCCGAGGTTAGAGCTGGAATCTAGGAGAGTTATGGTTTGAGAATAGATGTGTGTGTATGTGTCTATAGATGTTGTATCAATAGATAAAGATGACATAAAAATATCAAAAAAATAATTTAAAGCAAAGAAAAATCAATTTTTTTTGTAAGAACATAAAAATATCAAAAAAAAAAAAGAAGAACACTTTAGAACAGCAAGAATAAAGGTGGCCTTTGTCAGGAAAAGATTACAAGCTTGTAAAAATGAGCTATGAAGCCGTGGAAAGGGAAACTTGAAAGCTTAGCTGGGAGATATGGTGTGCAGATCCTTGCTGCCTTTGGTCCATCCTCTGTGAGAGAGTTTCGATGTATCCAAGGTCTCCACAGGATGGGTTGAGTTTCACAAAACTACCATGTGCTTTGTTGAATGTGCCTGCCCTGCCCTTCAAGAAAACACTCCATGCTTTCTTGTTACTAGCATTTATGATGAAGATCGACTGTAATCCTGTTAATTTTCTTAGAAATGGACTTTTTGTTTTGGTCAAAAGTGAGATTCCTTCCCTGTCCATTCAATGTGACTGATTCACTGGTGGATGCCATGAAGATTTTGTGCTTTCCCGCTTGGTTCCTATTTTCTTTAATCTAATATTCGCAACCATGAAATGATTGTTGCGAGGAAGAAAGAGGGCAAAAAGTGTTCATTTATTTTTATAAGAAAAACACCATTTTAGATTTATCACTCTTAGAAGCAGACTGTAATGTAAATCGACAATGAGATGGTCTGGGCTGCAGGGTCTACGCCGGACCATGAGCTAAATATATGAGATGGACATCACGAAACCATCGGGAATGGAGCTGGTTGAAAGTATAGTAAAAAGAAAAAAAATAAAGAGTTTTTTTGGTTTAAAAATATATAAAAATAATATTTTATTTATATTTAAAATTTATTTTAATATCATCTTATTCTTAAAAAAAAAAAGAATTAAAATCGCAACTTTATTAATTTGTAAATGAGATTGCATAATAAAGGAAATGATGAATGCTGTAAATCGCCAAAACCATTCCTCATGTCTGCGTTGTTTCACGGGCGACGCCACCTCAGCTCTTCAATCAAAGCATTCAAATCAGAGTAAGAAGATCCACCTTCTTCGACAGCCTTCCTGGCCGTTTCTCCTAGCTTCTTTGCTCTGCTCCTCATTTCCTCTGCCTCTTCACCCACCATAATTTGAGTGATTGTCCTCTCTACAGCTTCACTTTTAACATGATCTCCATGCACTCTAACCCATTCCTTAACTCCAACACCAACTCCAGTTTTCAAAACATCAGTCACCAACTTTTCATTATAGAATTGCTCAGCAAATATTGGCCATGTAACCATTGGTTTCCCTGCAGTTATGCCTTCAAGAGTTGAGTTCCATCCACAATGAGTCACAAATGCCCCTATTGCTTCATGATCAAGAATCAAAACTTGGGGTGCCCATCCTCTGATAATTAGTCCCATGCCTTCCATTCTTTCCTCAAAGCCTTCAGGTAACCAATCTTCCTTGTCTTCTTGGCCGTTTTTGTTTCTTCTAACTACCCAGATAAACTGCTGACCAGAAGCTTCGAGACCTGCTGCAATCTCCTTAAGCTGAGAGTCAGTGAAGACGGTCATGCTTCCAAAGCAAATATAAACAACTGAATTTGGTTTCTTTGAGTCGAGCCACTTCAAACACTCATGCTGATCAATTGAGGTTTCTTTTCCTCTTCCTGCTTTATCTTCAGTGTCTCTATTGCATAGTGAAACCGGGCCTACATTCCAAGCCCTTCTGCCCAAGACCAGCCTGTAGTAATCAGCGTAAGCTGGCTCAAGCTCATAAAAGCTGTTGACAACAACACCAAAGCTCCTCAATTCAGCTTCTTTAGATGCTTTCAAGAACTTGCTAAAGTCATTTTCAGCATCTTCTCTTGCAAAATCTGGCAGTTGCTTCTTTGTCAACTTTATATCACCAGGAAGATCAGGCACCACAAAAGGTTCGGAATCTGATGAAACTTTCTTGTGTGGCTCATAAAGCCTCACACATTCTGAAGCACTTAAAGCAAAGTTACTAGTGCCATGAAACACTAGCCTCGGAATTCCAAATTTGGCAGCAGCATCAGTAGCCCAGGGAAAGAACATATCAGCAACAATGCAATCAGGGTGGCATTCTTGTAGCACCTTCTCAAAGGGTGCTTGAAGCAAGGTTGTGGCCTTGATAAACTTTATGGTCATTTCCCTTGCATTTTCGCTGAAAATGAACGCATCTGTATTTTCATATCCTTCAGGAAAACCTGCCTCTGCCGCGGGGAATTTGATGGTCAAGATATTAATATCAAAACCCAACTCTTTGTTTTTGTGGATGGTTTTCGAAAAGAGAGGCGCGTTTAGAGGAGTGGTGATGATAGTTGTCTTTATGCCTCGAGAAGCAAAAAGCTTGGCCATGTCCACGAAGGGTATCATGTGACCATGAGCAAAGAAGGGGAAGAAGAAAATGTGCAATTGGTGACCCAAACTACCCATCTGGTCTTGTAGGATAAAAAAAAGAACAGAACTCAATTTGTCAATGAAAGACGGGAGTGACGATGAAGGAGAAGAAAAGCTTGAGCTGATTTTGTTTTTCTATGCTCATGGACCTAGTATCTTCCTGGACATGAATTGGTATTTATAAACAGACAGGTCTAGGCATCTGAGATTATTCAACTAGATTTTTCTCGAGCTACGAAATTTCCAGCCCATGCTAGGTTTTTCTCTTAACTTTGTATTGTTTAACTACACACACGTCATTGCTCCTGTCACAAAGTAATCACCTGAGCTTTCGATCCGCACAAAACAAATTTCCCTAAAAGTGGCAAGAGAGTTTCTGCAATATTAGGAGAACAATAACGTCCACTACTGCATTGTATATTTTTTCACTTATTTTTCTTTGTTTATTACTAAATAAGGATAATAATTTAATCCATACAAGATGGTTATCGATCCCGAACCAAACAAATATATATATAAGAAAAAAGTGAAATTGTGTTCGAGCATCATGGGAGCTCACACATTCATGAATGTATTACTAGTTCAAGCCTCTACCGCCTTCAGGAACCAAGAAGTCGTCTTGATTGTATCCCTCTTCTGTCTTCTACTTAGGGTCGTGATGTAAGCGCGTATGTCATAATAAAGTGGCGTTCTACGCTTGCGGGTGAAATACTATATCCAAGTTGTTATATATATATATATATAGAATTTAATTTATATTAAGTAATAAATAGTAAATGGATGATACACCTATCTTAAACTTGAAGTGTAAGGTATAAATATATAAATGTTTTAACAATTAAATAACAAATAAAATATAAATATAATAATATCATAGCATGTGATTCACCTATTATCATCCATGTTTTTTAATGAAGTTATTTAAAGGGTTAATTAGATGCACTCTTTTCTTCTAGTTTTATTATTCATTTGTGTTAATTGTTTGTGCGGTGGTGATTATAGCAATCAAAATAAAATCAGTTATATAAGGAATTTATTTTACTCCTCTCTCCTAGATTTTGATCTTTTATTTCAAATTTTACCATTGATTTTAAATTATAAATTCATATTAAGCTAGAAAATAAATAGATCATAGAATATTAAGTCATTATTATTTCTATAATATATTAAATGATGTCGATTTAATTTGAAATTAATGATTTAAATCTAAAAACATGATCCGAAGTAAAATAAGAACATGTTCCTACTAGAACAAATTATATTTAATGATTGCCAAATTCTGTGATTAATAGCTCCCAGCATTGCAACTCCAAGCATAGAACGCCACTTTGTTATGACATACGCGCTTACATCACGACCCTAAGTAGAAGACAGAAGAGGGATACAATCAAGACGACCTCTTGATTCCTGAAGGCGGTAGAGGGTTGAACTAGTAATACATTCATGAATGTGTGAGCTCCAATGACGCTCGAACACAATTTCAGGGAGATGAATGCGGAAGAAAATCACTTTTGACGGACCTCCAAATTCCAGGATGCATAATTTTGACGCTTTTTAAAAAATAGAGTACAAAATACAAAACTTTATACAGCAGCAGCAGTAAGCAGGTATTTTTTTATTTAAAAATATATCAAGATATGTTTTTCTGTCTTGCATTCGGAAGCTTCTTCAACCTCTGCTTTGCTTTATAACCAAGCTTTGTGAGCAGAGATTGGCTTATTCACACTGCACCAAATTTCACTGAAGCATGCAGTTTGTTTGCATACAAGAAGCACTGAATGAGAGCTGGCGATCAACCATAAAAGAAAGAGATTAAGGGAGATGGTAAGGATTCAAAGCATGTAAAAAATAATTCATCAGGAACACGCGCTGTCCTCTCTCACTAAACAACATTCTATAGAATCAAGTTCCCTGCCATGGCTTAAAAATCTGAAATCTTCCTACTGCTTGCTTGTTTTCAGGGTCGCCTGACTCTTAATTCTTCAATTAGAGCATTCAAATTAGAGTAAGATGAACCATCTTCTTCGATAGCCCTCTTTGCCATTCCTCCAAGGGCCTCAACTCTGCTTCTCATTTCCTTTGCTTCTTCACCTGTCATGATTCGAGTTACGGCCTTTTCTACCGCTCCACTCGTAATTTTATCCCCGTATACTGTAACCCATTGTTGAACACCAACAGCCACACCAATTTTTAGCACGTCAGTCACCAGCTTCTCATTAAAGAATTGTTCTGCGGAAACTGGCCATGTTACCATTGGCTTCCCGGCAGCTATGCCTTCCATGGTCGAATTCCACCCACAATGAGTCACAAACCCCCCTACAGCTTCGTGATCAAGAATCACTACTTGTGGCGCCCATCCTCTTATAATCAGTCCCTTGCTTTCCATTCTTTTCTCAAATCCCTCAGGCAACCATTCCTCTTTATCTTTAGCTTTCTCGTCTTTCCTGACAACCCAAATAAACTGTTGCCCTGAAGCTTCAAGAGCTATTGCAATCTCCTTTAGCTGAGAATCACTGAAATTGGCTACAGTTCCAAAGCATATATAAACAACTGAATTAGGCTTCTTTGAGTCGAGCCATTTCAAACACTCATGTTCGTCAATTGAAGCTTCCTTTCCTCTCTGTGCTTTATCTTCAAATTCTCTATTGCATAGCGAAACTGGGCCTATGTGCCATGCCTTCCTCCCTAACTCCTTCAAAAAATTAGCATAATCCGACTCGAGCTCATAGAAACTATTGACGACAATCCCATAACTCTTCAGTGATGATTCTCTGACCTTTTGAATTAACCTAGTAAAATCAGTTTCCACGTTTTGTTTCATATAATCTGGCAGTTGCTTGCTTGTGAACTTGATGTCACCAGGAAGCTCAGGCACAACAAACAGCTCAGAATCTGAAGAAACTTTCTTGTACGGCTTATATCTGTTCAAGCAATCTGAAGTGCACAAAGAAAAGCAACTGATGCCATGAAATACTAATCTTGGAATCCCAAATTTGGCTGCAGCATCAGTAGTCCAAGGAAGGAACATGTCAGCAATAAGACAATCAGGGTGGCATTCTTGTAGTAGCTTCTCAAGTGGTTGTTGGAGCATGGCTGTTGCCATGAAAAAGTTTTTGGTCATTTCTCCCTGTGTCTCATGAGAAGTGATCGAATCTGCGTTTTCGCATCCTTCTGGCAGTCCAACCTCAACAGCAGGAAACTTGATGGTTTTGATATTGATATCAAAACCCAAACCTTTTGACCTCTGGATTGTTCTGGAAACAAGTGGTGCATTGAGAGGAGTGGTGACAATGGTTGCTTTCACTCCTCGAGAAGCAAATAGCTTTGCCATGTCTATGGTTGGTATCATGTGGCCATGCGCCATGAAGGGGAAGAAGAAGATGTGTAGCTGATTCTCCTCACCACCCATGTATATTCCTGGCAATCAAAAGACTAAAAGAGGTGCTAATGACACTGATAATTGGAGACAATAATACCGTTAAGCCTTTCAAGATGAACTGGATTACTGGATTAAGCAGAGAAGAAAATGATGATGTTGCAGACAAGGAATGAAAATTGAGAGAGAGAAAGAGAAGCTCAGTCTATTTTTCAAAGAATGAGTGGGGCATATATGAGCACTGAGTTTTGGAGTATTGAACACTTCTTTTCATTTGTGGTTAGAAATTCCACCTTAGACTACTGTTTCAACTTCAAAGGTCTGTGGTTAGGTTCTCCTATCTCGACAATTGTGACTAATGTATTTTTGCGGACATGATTTTGTAATTTTTTAAATATGTATTTTTTATTTAGAAATATATTAAAATAATATTTTAAAAAAATATTTTTGATATTAATATATCAAAATAATTTTAAAATATTAATTTAAATAAAAATAAAAAAAAATAATTTTTTTAAAAACATTTTAAAATAAAAAAATAAACAACTTCTAATATTCAAGGAGCAGCAAAGTCAGTCCTCGATTATTGATGCAAGAGACGACTTGGACCCGTAGAATGACTTTTTTAGTTGACTCGTATGGTCCCATCGCATTCTGCGACCTACCAGCAATGTTAAAAGCCCTGACAGGCAACCCATCAGGTGAGGACCTAGGTCTACAGCGGCTTGAGGTACTGCTTTAAATGTTCTTAATTAAAGATGGATAAAACAAAAGCTGTGTTTAACATACAACCGTGCATTTTTTTTTAATATAATATTTTAATATATTTTTAAAAAGAAAAAACTTTAAAAAACAAATCACACTCCACCAACTTTAGGATCCAACCCGATCCATTACCATCCCTTTATTCAACCAGTTGCAAATCATTTGACATTAACCCAAAACAGTTGCTGCACTGGAAAGCAGAGTCTTATTATTATTAGTCCTCTTCTGGATTCTTTAATTCTATCTTCAAGCCCACTGGGAAGCAAATTTTCTTTGCTTTCTCCATTTTGTCCAGTTGATATAAGGATTTTTCCTATCACCCATATGAATGGGTGATTGGAAGCCTCAAGACCGTGGGCGATCTCAAGGATTTGTTCAGGGGCTAAACGAGCTAAGCTTCCAAAACTGACGTAAAGAACCGAATTGAGTTCTTTACTGTCAAGCCAGCTCAAAATGGATTGCTCATTAACCGAAGTCTTTTGGCCTCTCTTAGCCTTATCTTCCACATTTCTATTGCATAATGAAACTAGTCCCATGAGCCATGCCCTGTTGCCTAATTCATTCCTGAAGTAGTCCACATAAGCAGTCTCCAATTCATGGAAACTAGTAACCATAACACCGAAACTCTTCTCATCTGATCCTGGCATTCTTTTATGCAACCCTCCACCATTTGGTGGTCTTCCAAGGAATGGTAACTGGAACGTGGTCAGTTCAATCCCATCAGGAAGACCCGGAACAATAAAAGGCTCCAAATCAGAAGTTACCTTCTGATGGGGCTTATAGCGTTCTATATTTTCTCGGACACAATGAGCAAAGCATCCATTCCCATTGAAAGTAATTCTTAGAATCCCAACACTGTCAATGGCATCAGCAGACCACCGATGAAACACATCATGAACAATACAGTCTGGTTTTCGTTCGAGTAAAAGATTTTGCAGAGGTTCTTGGAGCATAGAAGTGTCAGTGTAGGAGTTGCAGATATGTCCGTGTCGGCTCTATCAACATTGTCAGACAGCTCAAGAGCGTGGATGGAGATTGGGAGACCAGATTTTTGGTCACGGTGGATGGATGTTTGGAAGGAGAGGGAATGTTTTGGAGTGGTAATTATGGTGGCTTTGGCACTATGGGAAGCAAAGACTCTGGCTATGTCTATCATGGGGATTTGGTGGCCTCCACCAACAAATGGAAAGAAGAACATTTCAACTGGAGGTGAATTTAAGTCCATTGTTGCAGAGGGGATGGGTTTGGATGAAAGCTTGGCTGGCAAGAGAGGAAGAGAGCCTTGGACTTTGTAAGTTCCAAATTATGGGATGTGCATCGAATGAAATATTTATAAGAAGAAATGAACTGAATATCCATGGGATTTATCCATTTTTAAAACAGAACAAGAATGGACATCACTCTCAAGAACCTAGACGTACGTCAGCAAGGGTGTCAGCTAATTTGGAAGAATCATGGCAGTTAGATAAGGTCGGTAGAAGGTAGACATGCTATATTCTGAAACTTCGTTTACTCTCGAGTTCATACTTTATAGCAACTGATACTCCCTGTTTGTTTCAATAGTAAATAATAATTTAGTTCGAATTTGGCAATTTAATAACTTGACCCTCCGATTTCATTAACCATGACTTAATTTCTTTAATGGTTTACGACGGTTAATTCTTTAAAAACTAAATTAATTTTTTTGAAAATCATCAAACTAACCCTAGGTTTCTTTCCATTAACTTGCAGCCAAATTAGTATTTAATTTTTTCTTTAACTAAACTAGTGACAGCTCGCCACCTCATTAACGGACAACAAAAGGAATACGTTATGAACGGAAATAAAAACAGAAGGATGCGATGGACCTCTTAAACTAGAGAAACTGACTAATTGTATGCAGAAAACAGAGGAGCTAAACCAGTGGGGTGCCATTCCAGATTTGGTTAGATTCCAACAGTTGAGATGCTTTAGCCAATACAGAAATATTGTTTTTCTTGAGAATTAAGACTTATTTAAAATAATGGGAAAATGTCAAAATAATTGGCCTTGTTGCGCCAAGAAATCTTACTTGCAACAAGAATGCTACATTGAAAAAAACCTTGCGTTAGACTACTGCCAAACCACTCCAAGCCTAGACACAAGATTTCATATTTATCAAGCCTATACTATATATAACATTTAACTAGAAATCAAAGTTTTGAACCTCATAAAAAATACAATTTGTAACAGAAAAGACTGTTAGGGCAGGAGATTGATAGCTTCCCTCTGATTGCACCTGGAAGAATGAACTGCAAAGGCTTTGTGTTGAACAAAAACAGAGCACTGCTATATCAATATAGACTTCAGAAGTCTTAAATCTATCGTGGAACACGAACTCATGCCGACCTTTCAGTAGCATTTTTTATCTGTAGAGCAGCTCTAACAATGTCTCCCCGTGTAATGATTCCAGCCTTTGGTTTTAAATTAGAGACCAGTTATAAATTACTCAGAACAGATTAGAATCCATAAAATATGATTGAATAAAGAATATTGGGAACAATTCTTACCAGCTTTCCATCATTATCTACCACTGGGAGTCGCTGATATTTTGTTTCAAGCAGCAACCTGTCATTAGATTAGGACATCAAGGGTGTTTTCAGTTTAATGTGAAAATTCCCACAGAATACGAGAAAAAATTAGAAATTTGATAACCATTTAGAAAATGTTTTTAATAAAGTTGGACAGAGAGAAAATGCATAATAAAATCTTCTCAAAAGTATTGTCATACATTTATGGAAGTACAAAATAGAACATGTTGTCTTACAGGTTTAAACAGAAATGTCCTTGAAGAAGAAAAGGATGCACTAGAGTGGAAAGAGTTGATACCTAACAGCATCCTCTAGATTGGTAGTTTCATAAACAACTAGAGGATTAGGAGTCATCAAATCACCAACAACTTTGCCGTTGTTCTTGATTAACAGTTTCTGTAACTCATTAAAAGTCTGCAATATTTATCAAGACACAGAATTCAGTACTAAAAAACATTAACTGAAAAATGTTCTAGAAGTAAAATCCCCTTTCTCAGTTTACATGCCAGTCTCTCTTGTATTTCTAACATCAAGCTCTTATTATAGGCCCAATTCCCACGATGGAGAAAACTCTCATTTATCAAGTTGTTGTATGGTTTTCCATTAACTATTAGAAATTACTATCATTACATCTACCCAACAACAAGAATAACCCTGCATTTGGAGAATTTGTTCAAGCAAAACTTGTATGTAAGGCCAGCAGTTGGATTGCAGGATGGTGCTAAACGTAACGGTGCAGCAATCAAACCATCAACTGGCCACATTCTTTTGCATTCTTTACCTCCCTCCAATAAGAGTTTGTTGACTAATTGTGAGCAAGCCCTGGTGAAGGAGGAAGTACTGAGCATTCCTTGATTGCATGCCATGTACTTGAAAAAGGAAGGATGGCAAGGATTTTAAAAGGGCAAATTGCCTTATTGAGCCAATCCACCCCCCATTTTCATTCTGAACCTTGGATTCAATAGTAAGGGCGACTCCAGTGTTGGAAAGACTTACCGAACCCCCACCCCCACAACACCCACCTTTCTTAATCTAGAAATGGTTAATGATTTGTTTGCTAATCATGGCCTGATCATCCTCTTAGAAGTATGATAAACTACATATCTTTTCTTGCAGATGTGGCCCCCAATTCTCACCATCTTCATGCCTAAAGAAAATACTATGTTCAATTTGTTTCTGTTCGTTTGTATATTTGATTGGTGAGTATAACAGCAGGCCTACAACATTATTGGGAGTTGAAGGACGTTAGCTCTGAATTTGACAAACACAAAGGATTCTAATCTCTAGCTATAGAAATCAGTCAAAATATCTCATTTTTTAAAGAAACAAAAATACATACAAACAGATGGATGCATGCATGCTCGAATACAAATACTAGATGCAAACATCTAGAATATCAAAGAGGAGCTTCACACACCTTCCAAGAACTATCAACATTAGGAAACAAGTTTGTGTCATTTTGACAGCCACCTGATAGACACCAAAAGAAGAAATTAGTAGCAGTTTCACACATTACAAAATTATAGTGCCTGTTTGTGAACAAAGAGCAATAACGAATGACAAAACTAAGTACCAACATCTAACAAAACAATACATACATACATGCATATATATATATATATATAAAACCTGAATCAGTACAGCATCCTTGCTGCTATAGGCCCTCAAGATTGAAAAGAAAAGTTTGAGAAACAAGCTAAGAATAATCATAATGTTGCCACAATCAAAGGGATGAAGAAAAATTATTTCTGAAAGGCCATGAATCCAACATTATTAGTTACCCTAGCTTATCTGTTTTTACTCTAGTCTATCTCCAAGCCTAGCAAATTGATGCTAGAGTTGACTTTTCAATTGATGCCAAGATAAATTAGTGTTGCTCGACTAGATAAGCAAGCAAATCTAACAAACACAAAAATTGCAGAACAAACAATGGCAATGAGAAGACCATAGTAATCTAACTTGGTTTTGAAAACCATAGTAATCTAACTCGCCATCATTCTCTGGTCAACTTAAGAACTCTCTAGAAAAGAAAAGGGGGAAGAAGAACAAACACAAAAATTGCAGAACACGCAATGGCAATGAGAAGATTACGTCCAAATGGAAATAATTTCCCACGCATGCACTCTTCATGAGAAAATTCAAACAAGGGAGCAAACAATGGTGAAAATGTACGGGAAAAAAAGACATAAAAATCCAACACTGCTTCACTAATCTTATACCACCTGAAATAGAATCGAGCGCTAGGAGGTCATAGTCCGAAACAACACCAACCTGCAACAAGTAAAGACTTGAAATCAGTTATTTACAACACAATCTCAAATAAATATAGTTTTTTTAGCTGACCGAGTGTTATCCTTCATTTTCAGAAACAAGTAACATGGATATTTTACTACTTCTTAGACTAGTTTTCTAGTTTAGATCTTAACTTTTTTTTCTCAGGGTGAACTTTGGACTCCACGAAATCCCAAGAACAGCATAGAAGCAAGGAACTGGTAAGCATGACTAGAAACCGTAAGACAGTGGAATCATTAGATAAAATGACAAACTTACCAATCTCCAGTCATCATCAATGACGGGAAACCCAGTTATTCTCTTCTCTACAAGAGCCTCCAATGCTGCAGAAATATATTCACGAAAAAATAAAATCAACAAACAGAACAACTCATAATCAAAGAAAAAGTAGTAATTACCATCATCAACGGTTGTGTTAGCTTTAACGACATATAAACCCTCCTTCTTGGTCATAAAATCACCAACTGTGTAAATCCCACTTCTCGCCTGCAGAGAAAAAAACTTGAATATAAAAAAAAACGCTATAAATAGAAAACAGAAGCAAGAGGCGGGTAAGTCAGTTATTCACCGGAACAGAGTTTGCTACAGTGGACAAGGCAACTGTAACAGAAGAACGGTATGGTGATCGAGGGACGGAGGAGGAGCCAAGACGACAACATTTCGATTTTGGGGTTTTAGAAACAAAAAGAGAAGGTGGTGGTGACTGGTTGTTATTGGTATTGAAACAGAGTGGCTGAGGCATAGAGAGTAGTAAAGTGTTCGTCACAGAAGCCATGTAGCAGAAGATGATTGTAGTTAGGGTTAGACCAACAATGGTGGTAAAAATGTTACGCTTGTTCCGTCGGGAAGGGGGGGGGGGTTTGTTAAGAGTGTATTGAATTGCTCTAACTGAGGAATTTCCAAGTGAGATTTGAAGCAGATGGGTACAGAGATAGCGCTTTGATTCTTTTGAATCAGAAAGTGCTGTTTTTGGGGTTGCCCTGTTCCGAGATAGGAGGAAACTTGAGAGACGTTGAGACGCCAATTGCTTGGTGAGGACCTTTCTTTATTTAACTCCGTGGACCCCTCTACAGCTCGCAAGTCACGGCTTATCCAGCCCTTTAATGGATTTACTTCTTATATTCTATTACTTTATTTTGACTTTTTGGATTTTGTTTACCTAAAATATTTCACACGTAGATTATCTTCTAATAAGATATTTTATTTAAATATTTCACATGTAGATTAATTTCAGTATACCAAAACATTGCGTGCGTGGTGAGATAGAAATAATAATTTAAATAATTCAATAGTATTGTTAATAAATTATTGTTTATAAAACTTTACAAGTTGAAAATATTAACTAAATTGAAATTATAAAGATTCACGATAAAGAAATTTTAATTTGCCAGTTTTGGAATGAAGGCAATTTTCAAGTAAACATTAAGAAAACAATTTGGATGTAAGAGATTTGTCTGCAAGCGATGAGGAGAAAAGAGAAGGGAAATGAGAATTGTCCTGTCTCGGTACAAATAATAAAGTTCGATGAGTTTGTGTGGTAGGGGGCACCGAACATCGCGTGGAGGCCGCGTTTGTCCGCTTCCATGTTCAATATTTTAATTTGTGTTTTAAATATTTTATTTATAAAAAAAACATCTAGCTGATGATTTTATGTATTTTTCAATAATCTTACATCAAATATACTGGTATTAAAAATAAAAATATTTTAATTAAAAAAACACCCTCCTTCACGTGGGCGTATCATCCAGCGTGAAATAAAACCCGCCCTGTAGCTTCGAAACTTTCCTTTCGCGCAAATCGAGGTCGATGTGTGGTTCAAGTTTATCGGCGAGGAATGAGTAATAAACGGAAAAACAAATAGCTAACATTGACGTCAGAATCACCAGCCGATCGAAAGTCTTTGTCGGCCGAACCATGCAATTACATTAATCAAATGTCGTGTAG